TTTTATTAATAAAGCTTTAAAACTTAGTCACTTGGTGTGCTCCTTCATCTCCTCCCCTAATAATCCTGAGGCCTCAGCCTAATCACCTGAAGCCTCAGGCAGATTGGTAAAATAAATCTGTCACACTACCTTCGGTGAACACAGAGAACAATTAATTGATCACCATCCTTATTATAACAGCCTTTAACATATTTGAAGACTGGTATTAGGCTCCCCTCAAGCTTCTTTTCTCAAGACTAAACATGCCCAGTTTTTTAACCTTTCCTCATATGGCAGGTTTTCTAAACCTTCTATCATTTTTGTTGCTCTCCTCTAGACTCTCTCCAATTTGTCCACATCTTTTCTAAAATGTGGTGCCCAGAGTTGGACACTCCAGTTACTCCAGCTGAGGTCTCATCAGTGCCAAGTAGAACAGGACAATTATTTCCTGTGTCTTACATACAACACACCTGTTAATACACTCCAGAATAATATTAGGCATTTTTGCAGCTGTATCACATTGTTGACTCTTATTCAGTTTGTGATCCCGTATAACCTCCAGATCCTTTTCAGCAGAACTACCATCCAACCAGGTATTCCTCATTTTGTAGTTGTACATTTGATTTTTCCTTCTTAAGTGAAGTACTTTGTACTTATCTTCATTGAATTTCATCATGTTGAATTCAGACCAAAATTTATCAAGTTAGTTTTGAATACTAACCATGTCCTCCAAAGTGCTTGCAATCCCTCAAGATTTGGTGCTCATCTGCAAATTTTATAAGCATACCCTCCACTCCATTAACCAAGTCATTAATGAAAAGATTGACTACTACTGGAACCAGGACTGACCCCTGCAGGACCCCACTAGATACATCCTCCCAGTTTGACAGTGAACCATTGATAACTACTCTTTGAGTACGGTCTTTCAACCAGTTGTGCACCCACCATACAGTAATTTCCTTTAGACCATATTTCCCTAGTTTGTTTATGAGAATGACATGTGGGTCTGTGTCAAAAGCCTTACTAAAATCAAGATATATGACATCTACTGCTTCCTCCCTATCCACTAGGCCAGTAACCCTGTCAAAGAAGAAAATTAGGTTGATTTGGAATGTTGGCTATTCCTTATAACCCTATTATCCTCCAAGTGCTTACAAACTGATTGTTTAATAATTTGTTCCAGTATTTTTCCAGGTATTGAAGTTCCACTGACTGGTCTATAATTCCCTGGGTCCTCTGTTTCCCTGTTTAATGATAGATACTGTGGTTGCCATTCTCCAGTCTTCTGGGAACTTACTAGTCCTCCAGGATTTCTTGAAGATAATGGTTAACAGTTCCAATATTGCTTCAGCTAGTTCCTTAAGTACCCTAGGATGAATGTCATCAGGCCCTGCCAACTTGAATACATTTAACTTATTTAAACATTCTTAAATCTATTCTTCCCTTATTTTGGCTTGCATTCCTTCCCCCCTGTTAATATTAATTGTATTTAGTATCACCATTAACCTTTCTAGTAAAGGCTGAAGGAAAATAGGCCTTAAACACTTCAGCTTTCTTGATGTCATCAGTTAGTGGCTCTCCTTCCACACTAAGTAGAGGATCTACACTTGCTTTTGTCTTTCTCTTGCTCCTAATGTATTTATAGAACCTCATCTTATTGCCTTTTCTGTCTCTTGTTAGGTGTAAATCATTTTGCGCCTTAGCCTTTCTGATTTTGTTCCTACACGAGTGCTGCTCTTTTGTACTCCTCCTTAGCAACTGGTTCATGTTTCCATTTTTTGTAGGATTCCGTTTTGATTTTCAGGTCATTAAAGACCTCCTGATGGAGCTATATTGGCCTCTTACCATTCTTCCTATCTTTCCTTCGCATCAGGACAGTTTCCTGCTGTGCCTTGAATATTGTCTCCTTGAGAAATTACAAGCTCATTTGAACTTCTTTTTCCCTTAGATTTTCTTCCCATAGGACCCTACCTATTAGTTCTCTCCATTTGTTAAAGTCTGCTTTTTTGAACTCCATTGTCTTTATTCTGCTGTTCTCACGCCTTCTTTTCCTAAGAATCATGAAATCGATCATTTCATGATCACTTTCACCCAAATTGCCTTCGACCTTCAGATTCACTACCAATTTCCTCCCAGTAGGTCAGAATCAATTTAAAATGGCTGTTCCCCGGGTTACTTCCTCCACTTTCTGGAACAAAAAGTTGTCTCCAATACATTTCAAGAACTCTAATCTCCAGATTGTGTAATACCATCTTCCCTACCTAAATCTCCTCCTGTAGTTTATTAAATCTGTGAAAAGACTGCCTTTCCCCCCCTCAACAATTTATATTTTTAATCTGAAAAAGAAAGGGGGAGGAGAAAAGGATTATTTGGAGAAGGAAGCAATGACAGGTTTAAGGAACAGCTCTAATATATCATGTTCTATTCCCCTTGAGTTGTCAAAAACAACAGTGGTTGAAGATGCTCATTTTATTTATATAAATAAATAAAACAAAGATTAAATTTCATCTCCGTTGCAGCTGTTGACCATTTGAACAGTCACATACAGAGAAAAAGCAATACAGTTCTTTGCCCTTATATCGCACTTTGTATTTTAGGAGCAAATCTGATAGATCAGGGGTTCGCAAACTGTGGGTCAGGACCCCAAAGTGGGTCGTGACCTCATTTTAATGGAATCACCAAGGCTGGTATTAGATTTGCTGGGGCCTGGGGCCAAAGCCCAATGGCGTCATATCTGGGTGGCGGGGCTCAGGTTACAGGCCCCCCTCCTAGGGCTGAAGCCCTTGGGCTTTCGCTGTGGCCCCCCATCCAGGGTGATGGAGCTCAGGCTTTGGCTTTGGCTCTCCCTGCCAAGGCAGCGGGGCTTGGATTTTGGCCTCCCCCAGCCCGAGGCAGTGGGGCTCAGGCGGGCTCAGGCTTTGGTCCCCTCTTCTCGGGTTGTGTAGTAATTTTTGTTGTCAAAAGGGGGTCGCGGTGCAATGAAGTTTGAGAACCCCTGTGCTAGATGAACATTAATGAATTAAGGCTTGACAACATCTGCAAGCTATGCGACTGTCCTCATATTTCAGATGAGGAAACCGAGGCACAGGAATACTGGCCACTGATTTAAGGTGCTTCAGTTTTTGAAAGCCAAACTTGTTGTGGGTCCTTGGTACTTATGAAAAATAGGCCTAGAGGTGGGCATCCAAAACCATTGATCAGTTTTGAACATTTTGGCCTACGTCCCTTCCTCAAGGCTACACAAGAAATCTGTAACAAAACTGGAAAAAGAACAACAGTCTCCTAACTAATCTGTGCCTTAACCGTAAGACCATCCTTCCTGGATCTTCTTCCTCATGCCCATATTTGATTACCAAGGAAAAATCCTCACTCATCCTCCTTCCCGTTCTTCCCCTCCCATGGAGGCCTGTCATCACTGTTTGCAGCACGGTATTGTGAACAAGGTATTTGTCTTAGTGAACTATGAATGACCCATTGTGGCCATTAAAAAAAAGGGGGGGGAGGAAGAAATCAGAGCTGATCCTCCCCATTCTCAAACTGTGCTTATTTACAGCCGTTTAGTTCTGTTGACTTCAGTGGCGTTTCTCCTGACTTGTGACTGAGAGAAGTATCCAACGCACTGTTTACAGAAAGAGTAGATCCTAACCAGAGAGAATTTTTTCTTCTTTGTAAAACAGACATAATTTAAGATCCTACAAAAAGGCTTAGTAAACTTTATGTAACATTTGAAATCAGAGTCACATCTATACAGAACAGTACAATTTCCTGTTACAGTGTCATACACAAATATCAGGCAAACACTCCCCTCCTTCAATTAAAACATGAGGAATGCAGCCCAGCCTACAGAATTAATCTGCTAACAGGCACCATACCTTGCAAATCTCTGATAATCCTCTGTAGCTGGCTTTCTCCACTAGTTGCTGCCATCATGAAAACCAAAGGAGGTGCAAGCCCACGCTGTTAAACTTTTCACCCAGCTAGAAAAAAAGAGCAGAGTTCACATCCTTGATGACCATTCAGTTAGTGGAGATTAGTTTCCTTTGTGGCATCTGCAATTCTGAAAGAAGAAAATCTATTTATATATAATCTGGTACAAACAGCACATGCAGACACGCACACACATACACACACTTACCTGTGGTGCTTTGGATTTTTAAAGCCCATTTAATAATGTTTCCATAGTGAGGTTTTTTCCTAGTAACCCTGTACTACTATTTTCTTTTTAATTTAACCTTCCCTGTCCCGCCTTTTCAAATGTAGCTCAGTGGTTTGAGCATTGGCCTGCTAAACCCAGGGTTGTGAGTTCAATCCTTAAGGGGGCCACTTAGGGATCGGGGGCAAAATCAGTACTTGGTCCTGCTAGTGAAGGCAGGGGGCTGGACTCGATGACCTTTCAAGGTCCCGTCTAGTTCTAGGAGATAGGATATCTCCATTATTAAAAAAAAACGGTGATAAATTTTCATTCCCCCATTGGAGCTATGACACAAGCTAGTTTCACTGTCCAGTCCAAGATAGGATTCTATATAGCTAATCCTCTGATCCTGAGCGAAGGTCTGATAACATGAGAACGTCCCTACAGGAGCTCTATGCTGTACCTTTTCTATATGGAACACAGAACACTGTTACAAGCACATTTCCTTCACTCCAGAAAGCAACAGCCTTACTAGCCAGAGTACCAAGAATGAACCTTAGTGTCCTAGAATGAGTATGGTCCGATTGTCTCCTCTGGGGTCGGTGGATATTCCCATTCTGATATGGTCAATTCACTGTTTTACTTGAGTCCCAAACCTCCAGATTATTTTCAAAATTGCCTGGTCTCCTCCCTCTTCTTACTACTCACAGTTTCCGGTGCCACATTATTTTAAGGTATGTTACAGCATCCCTGGCTAGGACACTATAGTTAGGGCCTTTTGGGGGTTCCTATTCAGTTTTCTGCTCCAGTCACAATGGCAAGTTAATTTATAATAAATAATAATAATTGACAACCTTGAGTAGCACTTCTCATCCACAGATTTCAAAATATTTTACAAAGATGGATAAACATTAAGAGCCAAATTTTCAAGTGCTCGGTGCTCCCAATTGGGGACAAATTTTCAAAAGAGCTCAGCTCCCACTGAGGCACCTAATAAGGGGCACATTTTCAAAAGCTCTGGGCACCCAGCAGCTCCCATTGTGACACTTTTGGACAGATTTTGAAAAGAGCTCAACACCCAAAATGTTGAGTCTGTTGAAAATCTGGCCCCACTTGTATATGTTTTAATGCATATATAACTATTGGGTTATTTTATGTAACTGCGATGATCACAGTCTTTTTAAGCACTGGTGTGAGAAGATTAAATAGCTGCATACATCTCTTCCATTCTTTATATAACTATGTAGACATACTCCAGTGGGTTTTTGGGAGAGACCAGATAAGTCATAGAGGTGACACTTTAAATCTTATGTGCCCACGTTCTGCTTGGCTGTGTACCTGTCACAACCAAGTCCTTAGCCTTTTTGACACAAGGTCAAGATATTTAAAATAAACCTTAGCAAAGAGACTGACAGACAAATAAATAAAAGGCTAAAATTGTTCTCTCAAGTGCACTACTCCTAATACCCAAATTTAGTCAATGTACTGTTTCCACTGCCATGCTTTGATGTCTATTGGTCGTGTTATTAGGCTGGGCTAGATCTCCCTGTCCTATGGAGCACACTTGTTTCTGTGAAGTCCCCAGCATGCACATCCTGCTATATAAAAATTCAATAATAATAATATTCAGAGTACACATATACCTTTGCAATTTAAAAGCAGCCCTTGTTCTCAAGGCAACACACTGGATGCAATACCAACAATCAAAAAACGGAGCCAGCTCTTCAGCGGGTGTGAACTGGAACAGTTGCACTGATGGAGCTATACCAATTGACACCTGTTGAGATTCTGGAACACCGGGTCTAATTCTGATGTCACACTGGTGATAACCAGGAGTAACTCCATTGAATTCACTGGAGTTACAGCAGCAAAAATCAATGCAAGACGGATCAGAACCAACTCCCCCACTTTCTTTTAAGGCTACTTATCTTTAGCCTCATGACGTAATGATTCCTACCCTAATTCTGACTAGGGATTCCATACAATAACATCTCCATGTTTTTTTGGTCACTGGTTGAGTTTGGTTATGGTCAACAAGATGATAAAGCATCCTGCATTAGAGAAGTTATCCCATATCATATAACAAACACAGGGCCCTCCCCCCTTCATCAGGCCACTTTACAGTTGTGGTGCTGGGGCGGAAGGTGCTGCTGTAGGTGGTCAGTGTGCCCCTTCAGCAGGGGCACCCATTGAATTGGGAGGCTACATCCAGCCTTGGCACTGAGCACTCTTACCGACTTCCCAGGACAGCCACCGCATAAAAAGGGATGATCCTGGGAAAACCTGGACAGGTGGCGAGCCTAATCCCCTCTTCTGCCCCTATGCAGGGGCCAGGCATAATCACAATCTCTGAGCTCAGGAAGCACAAAGGCCGCATGAGACCATCATCTACAGCAGCACAAACCTCTCCAAAAAAGGTGCAGAGCGGAGGGTTTACATCAGGGGTGGGCAAACTACGGCCCATAGGCCGAATCCGGCCCACGAGCCATTTTAAGCCAGCCCGCGAGCTCCTACTGGGGAGTGGGGTCTGGGGCTTGCCCCGCTCCAGCGCTCCAGTTGGGGCGCTGGGTCAGGGGCCGCACTATATGGCTCCCGAAGCAGCCGCATGGCCCCACTCCAGCATTAGCAGGTCTGGCGCCAGCATGGCCCCGCTACAGCGCTAGCAGGAACCGGAGAAGGGAAATGTCACTGTTTCTGGGAGCCGCCTGAGGTAAGCGCCGTACAGAGCCTGCACCCCTGAGCCTCTCCCCATGCTCCAACCCCCTCCCCCAGCCCTGATCCCCCTCCTGCTCTCCAAACCCCTCAATACCAGCCCGAAGCACCGTCCTGCACCCCAAACTCCTCATCCCCAGCCCCACCCCAGAGCCCACACCCCCAGCCAGAACCTGCACCAGCCCTGCTCCTCCTCCTGCTCTCCAAACCCCTCAATCCCAGCCTGAAGCACCGTCCTGCACCCCAAACTCCTCAACCCCAGTCCACCCCAGAGCCTGCACCCCTAACCAGAGCCCTCACCCCATCTAGCACCCCAACCCCAATTTTGTGAGCATTTATGGCCTGCCATATAATTTCTATTCCCTGATGTGGCCCTCAGGCCACAAAGTTTGCCCACCCCTGGTTTACATTATGACCCAGCACCCGCTACTGTGCAACAGCCCAGCAGGGGGCAGCATACAGTGCAATCTTTAATAGCATAGCACTGTGGCTGCACTCAGTTGGGCTGAGTGGCACTCCAGGAGGCATTGTACCTATCATAGTCCTGGCTCCCCACCTCTCAGAGTCCGATCTGCACCGAGAGGCCTCTGCGGGGTTGGAGGAAGATGTTGTGGAGATATGTCTGGGCTCTGAGTCTCTGCTGCTCACAGAAGCAGAGGGGATGATTCAACCCTGGCAGATTTTGCAAGGAAAGATTGTACATAAATTGCTTCTGCCTCATTCCGCATCTATATAACATGGGGATAAATGGCATTTCCCTACCACAATGGGGTGTTGTGAGAATAAATACACTAAAGATTGATGGCCCCCTGGGTGCTTCACAAAACATCTATGAGAGATTTAAAGGCCAGAAGGACCTTTCTGATCGTCTAAACTGGTCTTCTGCATTACACAGGCTATAGTATTTCATCCAGATTCTCACATCTGTTGTTTAGGATACACCCCACCACACCGCTGTCTTGTTGCAGAAGTGTAAAATTTTCTGAAATGGGCAGCAATTGTGAGATCGGTGAAATATTAATAGATCATAACTTAAGTATACATAAGACCTACACAACCTGCTTTGGTCACTTTAACATTTATGCAAAACTCTGAGCTAGCTAGCTCCTCTCTAATGACACTGACATTAATAGAAATGAATGGAACGACCCCCATTTACACTAGCTGGAAATCTGGCACGTGATTTCAAAGAAGGAGGTAAAGAACCTCATTGCTCTCTCTATACACTCACGCGGCAGTGCCCAGTGAGTCTGGGAGGAGGCCACATTTCTTGTCATCCCTTTTTAAATACAAGTGTGTGGGTGATTAAATCTGCTTTGTAGAGGAGAAGAGCTGTGAGATTAAACTGGGAAACAGATGGGCATCAGCCCAGACTCATCCACTGGAGAGAAGAAAGATTTACCCCAAAGGGGAATTAAACAAAATAACAAAGAAGAGCAATGATTATAGGTCACTTAGAGTTTAGTTGCACAGTAGCTATGGAAATTCACAGTATATTTTTGAATGGAAAAACCATGCTCTGAAGACATCTCCTTTACTCTCCTCCCCAAATACCTCCTGCAAAAGATCAATGACATGATAGAGAGTTAACTACATAAATTATACAGAATGGGCTGCTTTCATTACATAATACTGTTAACCCCCTTGGACAAAATTTATTGCTAGAGTATCCACTGAAGTATCTTAAGCTAATGTTATTACATAGTCTATGCTTTGGCCATAGAGCCGCATAGGAGCAGGTACCTCAAGACACAGGTACCTCACCACACATTCTTTGCCAATATTATACGACCTTTAAGTATTCAACATCTGGTTATGATAGCACCTGTATGGAAACAACGGGTAACTGAAGATACTCCAGGGCCCAATCCTACTCCCCTTACTGCTGTAGTCCCATTGATTTTAAAGGTACTGCTCCCTTGAATAAATTGAGCAAGATTTGTCCCATAATAGAAGACAGGGACCACTAATTGCAAAGCGCACTTTTGGAGGGTGACACAAGAAATCTAGCGACCCCTGCATAAATACACTAACAAGGCACGCATGAGTGAGCTACTAGAAGTGCAGAAGAGTCACTTAGCAGAAATCTTACTGCAATGCTGAAGAATAAAAAAAAACACTTTTGCCATTTCTATAACCTTAAGGAAAACTTTAACACTTTTTTAAAAAGTTAAATATTTACACTGACACTACAAGAAGCATACAGTTCCAAT